CCCCCCCCCCCCCCCCCCCGAAGATAGATTTCGGCCCCAATCAGGCGGGGATTGACTATTGAGGGGGGTCCGGTTGGGGGGGGATTGCACGGTTGTCTTTCTAAAGGCCGTCATTCCGGAGCATCTTGGAGGAGCTGGGGAAGCCACCCTCTCCGAGAGTCTGGAGCTGGACTTTCGCAACCTTCAGCGCAGTCCAAGCTGTTGTCCTATCCATGCCCCCACGCCACCATCAGCAGAACGGAGATTGAGATGTTTACCGTCATCACATGTTCGCACTGAACTACTCACAAGGCATCCATCGTCTGATTCGGTTGACTGTGTCGTGGCATTTTGTCCTCTGACCTGCTTGGGGCGCGTCATAGCTTTGCGGAGCACCGCTCCAGCTGCAGCTGCCGAAAGCCGTCGTCTGCGAATCGCGAGCACTCTTCGGGATTGGTAAGGCACGCGCTCTGCACAGCACTACTAGCAGGCTACTGTACCACCAAAGCAGTTTTTGCTCATCTTTGAAAAATATGCTGCGCGGAGCTTCTGGCGACAGCCTGAGCGGCCTGGTGCAGATCTTGAGGTAATATCCACTGAGTAAGAGCATATGCTGTTAGACGGTGTTACTGCAGTGCCTGGAAAAAGCTTGAATGGAAGCTGTCAGGTAGTCTTGCTGCAGCTCAGAGAAGAGGCTTGAGCAAGATCATGTTCGCAGCACGTACGCAAGTTTCTCAGGTCTCAACTTTGTATGCTTTGAAGGCGACTGCCTCGGATCTGCAGCGTCCGGAGAGAAGTTTGGGGAGGCAAGCGTGCTTTTGACCAAGGTCTTTCTTATCTGCAAGCCGGGAAGATCGGAGGGGTGTTCATGGAAACAACATGTCCAGCCTTCAAAGCCTTTCCTGTGACCCCAGAGTGGATTACCAACCCTTGGCAGACGGACAAGGTGACATCGGACATCGCGAATTTGCTCTACATCAACACCAAAAAGCATGCAAAGCAGTACACGGAGAATGTTCGTGTGCAGACACAGCTGTCATGGCAGCTGCAAGTGCAAACTTCAGTTGGAAGCCGTGGACAGCCTCTCCATGCCGCAGTTCCAGGAACATGCCTACAAGCGGAATGTCTTAGTCCTGGACGGGCCGACACGGGCTGGAAAGACCGAACTCGCCAAGAATTTGGCTGGTGAACTGTGCCAACAGCTTGGAACCAGATTTGAGATCTTTTGACCCCACCCGTCACCGATCCATAGTTTTCGATGAAGCCTCAGCAAATCTGATGCTCAGGCACAAAATGTTGTTCCAAGGCGGTGTGTAGGACGTGTCCATGGTGGCTTCGGCGACCAACGTTTACTCGCACTCTGTCTGGATGTACGCCTGCATGCTGATCATCACATTGGGAGCTAGACGTGCAGGCCTGAAGCGAAGAGGATGCTGATTGGTTCCGTTGCAAATGCATCAATGTGTACTGTTCGCATAAGCTCTATCTTTGAGCTTCGATCTTGCTGGTGCATTATTGTAATTTGTACTTCACGTGAAGTGTGCGACTGATGCAAAGCGGCTTGCGTCCCGCGTCAATAAAGCAATGCAGACAGTTGTTGAGTTTGGCTGTGTGCACATCTGCTCTTTCACCTCGGGGGGGTAGTGCCTCCCAAGCATCATGCACGGTTTGGACCGCGTCTGCTCGAGATGCCATACTGTAGCTCAGGATCTTGTAGGTAAGGCCGGAAGCCAGGAGCCAGCGACGGTACTGCAGCTCAGGAGTTTTGGGCGACTTTGGAAGGCCCAGGAGGGCAGCTTAGGGTTAAGGATTTGCTTGGGTGTGGGCAGATGCAGGTGCGGGAGCACTTAATGCAGCTCAGGATTTGCGGGGTTGTTACGGTCGGCGATTGCTCGAAAACGGAGTTGGCTTTTTCTTGCTTTCTAGGATGTGCGATGTTCTGAAGCGAGGCTTAAACCCCTTACGTTTCACTTATTTGCTTTGTTTGCATCGGACCGAGTGCAGCTGACTGCTGTCGTTCAGGCCGAATCACGCCAAAAAACGGCAGGGTCCATTGTTTGGACTAGCCGGACCCGCCCTTCATACCTTGATTGATTGTGCTGCGTCGCATTGGCAGAAGCGCATGCACTTAGGCATATTGCCCACAGGAAAGCGCTTTGCATGGTTTGGGGCCTATTGACACCAGCTTGTGACACGTGTGTTGCACGTTCCCGCTGCCCTACTCGATGCCATGTCTTGTGATGTTGTTGGTCCTTGTGGCAACAGTGATAAAAATGAAAGCCCGGAAAGTAGACCTGAATTTGAAGCCGTTAAGGGCAAACTCATGGGGAACTTCCGGGGTAGGGTTTAGGGCTTTGGGATTTACGGGTTGAGGGTCCAAGGATTTCGGGGGTGTAAGGATGCATCATTGGAGGGTATTCCGTAATCTTAGGTTCCTGGCTAACCTGTTCTAGTTTGTAAGTAGGTTTCCGGGTCTGGCAAGACTTCCCCAAACCCCAAATTCTTCGGTTTTTTAGGACGTGTAATGGTTTGCGTATCTTCCTGCTGTCTCGAAAGCTGGTTTATGCTTCATCATGTCTTATAGCCTGGACCGAGAATCCCTCTGAATCGCAACAGACTCGTGTGGCATTCACACACAATTAGTGCATTAGCAGTGGCCCATTCCACCTTAAAGCCACACCCTGCACCAAGAACCCCGAGTAAATCACAACCAGCAGCAAAGTTTTGTATGTTGTACCAAGCCTGCAGGACTTTCACGAGTCTGGCTCGTTGCTGCTCACTTCATCGCTGAGTGGCACGCTTTATCTTACTCTGTTGAACCTTGGCCAAGGTTTGGGAGATTCCTTTGAAGAGTAGGGTCGGAATCATGTGTAATTGCTGCTGTTCACGTACAGTCCCGGGTAGTTACACCTACTTTAGCTTTAAAGCCGTAAGCCCCTTGTGGCTAGGGATTTTGAAAAACAAATTCTGGCACAAAGCCAGCATCTATGGTACGCAACTCTATGTCCTGAACCTGGAATGCTTGCTTTGCATGCTGCACTCGAGGTGTAAGTGACATCTCATCCTCAGCTTTTTCCTCCATTGACTTCCATGCTGTGCAGACCTTGGGCTTTAGAGCATCTGGACTTACCAGGTAACCAAATCGAAGCATACTCCACACATTGGTCAGCTCTTGAAAGCACGACACCAGATCGAGGTATTGAGGGGCTGTTCACCACCACAAGGGACTCGCATCCCTAGCTTCTCCATTCCTGAAGACTAAATCCTGATTGCAAACCTGAAACCAACACCTGCATCCTTGCGTCCTCATCCCCAAGTACTAGCCCCAAGTCCCTACACTCACCGTTTCAAAGGACATTGCTTCACCGCGACTACTCCTCTGCGGCACGACTGGTAGGTTCGATCGGATTCGATGAAGGCAGGGTATCTGAAGTGTGGTTGATCATAGAATGGTTCGGGTTGCTTCAAATTGGGTTTAGGGTTCAGCCGAGCGCGATTCAAGGTCCATTGGTTCATGTCTACGTAGGCCGTTTAGAGAGATCTTCAGGGTTGACAGTTTGGGGCGTGGTGCGTCTAGGGTTGACCGATGTCCATGTCAGGGAGTCTTGTGAGTTATGTTTGGATTTCGCGAGCTGTTTGGAGTTTCTGGATTTAGGTCCTGATTTCTAGGCCCTGACCCGTCGAAATCCATAGTCCGAAGTCCAGAAGGGTTATTCCTTAACTCTTCCTTATTCCTTGGTGTTCCTTCTTGAAAGTTATACTGCACCGCACAACCAAGGCCCTGCATTAGCTCCAGAATTCCGAAACTCTACAACCTAGAAGTCCTATACTCCAAACTCCAAGCCCGAAAGATTCAGAAGGGCGGTTCCGATTAAGCGATTAAAGTGACATCAGGCATTTCGGCCGATGAAGAGCGGCTGCTGATTTTCAACCTCAAGTCCACCGTGACAGCTGCTTTGCATCCTTAGGAGTTCTTGCTACGTTTTTAGTTTGTTCCTCTTTTGGCTTATGGCCTCTTGTACAGGGATATTCAACATTTATTCTCCTTGACTTCTAGAGAAAATAGAGGCATCCACCATGCAGAGCTTACGGTCCAGAGTCTAGGGCGTGTAGGGCCTGAGGTTTAGGCTTGCTGTAGCCCTCAGTTATTCCAAAGCTGCGCGTAGAAGAAGTCATACCGTTGACACTTTGGAACTCTCCGTAGGCTACTCTGGGTTGTAGGGTCCCAAGGCATACATCCCTAGTGGAGGTTAAGAGGCTTCAGCTTCGACTTTGCGGCTCAAGCCATGCAGTCACGTTCGAAGAGGTTTACGGCTTGGAGGATTGGGAACTTAGGGAGTGGGGGACGTTTCGGGTTAAGTTTTTCGAATTTGGGGTATCGGGCTTAGCAACCCAAGCCTACGAAGTCTGAGGCACTGAGCAGGCAGCACGCAGGCAAGATTTGAAATCTCGAAACGCTGCACACCCTACAGCCCAAGCCACAAAAGCTTTAAAAGCCACAGTCGCTACCTTAGCCCCCAAACCCTATAAGAGTCCTAGAGCCCCATAAACACCAGAACCACAGTCTAACCGCGCTTTGTAGGGCGCTGTGCTCAGGACCGTCATCCGAATGCGTCGGCAATTCGACTGAAGCTGCTTGGTTCCGGCGGGCAGGTTATCAGTTAGATGCTTGTTACTTACCTTAGTTCCCCAATACCCAACCTTTAGACTTTTTGGACTCTTATAATTTAGTAGTAATCTGAAAGTTTAACCTTTTATTTCCTTGGCTTATTGGATGAGAAGTAAGTTAGTTACAGCCAAATAGAACCACAAGTAAGTTTCTTCTAGCCTCACTCTGCTAAGTTACTAAGGCCCCTGGTCGCCCGGATCCTGGAAGCGAAGATTGAGAATTTAGGGACCCTGCGGACCTAAGCGCTTCACCCTGTGCAGTTCTTGCAACCCAGAGACTCCAATACCCCTTAATTAACTTTAATTAAGGAATATATTTTAAATTAGAGTAGGATCCCTAATAAGATTCAAGGTATATTCCTTAATTCAGGGGTATTGGAGTCTCTGGGAATGCTCCCCCCTCTCCCCCGCTTTGTGAGGACCGCATGATCGATGAAATCCAAGTCATCCTCGGCTCCGGGTCACCCGAGAACCCCAAAGGGGCCCAAACCTGAGGCCCTACTTGGAGGATCATGGGACTTAGTAAGTAAGGTTGTAAGTAGGGTAACTATATAATTATAACCCCAATTAGAGTACTTATAACCTTACTTACCAAGTCCCATGATCCTCCAAGTAAGCCCTCTATTTCGCGATAAACCTAGCCGAAGACCAAGAGTGGCAGCAGCCTTAGATCCTCAAACACCTGCAGTGAGCCCGAGACTAGACCTTGTATAGACTTGTTTAAAACTCTGAAAAGCTTCAACAAAGCCGTAGTAGAGCCTCTAATCATATATCCTCAGAACAAAACACTACAGCCACGCGATAAGACCTGTTCACCTTCGTCCATCTGAAGAGCCGTGAAGTCCTATAGTCCTATACAAACCACAAGAAGCGAGGCTGCTACTCGCGCTGATCGCACACAATCCAAAGCACTTCCTGCTGAAGCCAGCTCCTTCGTTCGCAACTGGCTTAGTCGGGTTTATAAGGTTAGGGTATAGGGGTTTAGGGTTTGGGCTTTAGGGGTTTACGGTTTAGGGCAGAGGGATCACCGACAACATCAGAGCACCCAAGCCTCATCCCCTCATGCGGTTTACCCTAACCACGAAACCCTGAACCCCTACGTACCAAAGGTATCTGGTCATGGGGACCCAATTAGGAGAGCTTGGCAGTAAGGCTTTAGGCCTCATACAGGGTCTGGGGACCCTAAAACCTAAACCCTAAACCCTGAACCCAATTATATAGGAGAGCTTGCAGTAAGGCTTTAGGCCTCATGCAGGGTCTGGGGCTCTGAACGTGGGTCTCAGTTAGAGTTTGGGCGCCTTCTTCTTGGCCTTTGCGTCATGGACGTCAAGAGACACTGGAGGTACGTATGGGGGTGGGCGATGAAGGGATCTGGGCTTCGGGTCCTGTGCCGGGGATCTTTGGAATCCAGGGATTTCTTCAGCGGGTCGGCTGTGAGGCGCACGAGGTCAGGGCCTTTTCCACGTATAAAAATCCTTGAATGGGAAACCTAAACCATGATACACCCCAAGCCGTAGCTCTTGACCCCGAAATCCTAAACCCTCCTGGTAAGCCATTTTGGTCGGGTTACCCTAAGTCCTAAACCCTTTACAACCCCAAACACAAACCAACTAAAGGCCACTACGAGAGTTTTCGTGTCTTTCGCACCTCAGGAAGAGGAGCTCATTGCCGGGGACTACGGGGACTATCTCGACCCATGGCTCGCTTAACGCTTCGGGGGTATGACACTTTTGTGGGGGGTTTTAGGGTTTGGGGTTCAGGGTTTAGGGTTTGGGGTTTAGGGTTTAGGGGTTTAGTGTTTCAGGGTTTAGGGTTTAGGGGTTTAGGGGTTTAGGGGTTTAGTGGTTTAGGGGTTTAGGGTTTAGGGTCTAGGGTTTAGGTAGGCTCGGATCTAAACCTCTTGAGCCCAACTTTCGCCCTCAAGACGCCAACCCCAAAGCTCTTTTTGCGCTTCCGAGCCCCCACCCCTAAACCTTAAACCCTGAACCCTAAACTAAAAGAACTCTCAAGGTGACCTCATCTACTCGGTCTTCAAAGAGACCGATTCTTGGCTCTCTGTTAGTTGGCTCCGAGGACGTCAACTTGTTTGCGATGTCTCGGTTAACGACCTACAGAAGCTACAAGCTAAACGTTTCAGAAGGGTTCAGAAATCATCAGAGGTTTTATGTTTATATGGTTCATGATTAACTATCAACTAAAAACTGTTAGTTGTCATCTATTCAAGATTGTCTGTTAATGATTAATGATCAGTTTTTGTTAATGTTATTGGTATGCAACTTGACTACCCTAAACCCTAAACCCTAAACCCTAAACCCTGTCAGCCCAGGATTATGCAACCAACTTTTTGATCGACGGGGATGGTCCCTGGAAAGACTCGGGACTGGGAGAGGCAGGTCATATATTCCTTGGGGCTTATAAACCCTAATCCCTAAACCCTAAACCCTAAACCCTAAACCCTAAACCCTAAACCCTAAATTAGGGTTCAGAAGATGAGGGTTTCGGCAGCAGGTTTGATTAGGAGTTCTTGCTTCTTGGTTTGAAGTTTACAGGGCTGCATCTAAGACTTGAAGAGGTTTCACAAGGGCGTTTCGGGTTCAGGGCTTTAGGCCTGGGAGTGGAGGGTCTTCGGGCTTGGAGGTAAAGGAATTAGGGTTTAGGCTTTAGGGTTTAGGGGCCTTCGGGTTTAGGGGCTTTAGGGTTTAGGGTTCAGGGGCTTTAGGGTTTAGGGTTTAGTTTTAGGCTGTGGGGTTTGCGGGATGTTCGGTGCGGAGGCTTAAACCCTAAATTTCCCTAAATCCTAAACCGAACGGGCTCGCCCGAAAGCATTGGGGGAAATAAATGTCTTCGGATCTGCCACACTTTGTGGTTCGAAGGTTTCGGGTGTTATGCTCATGCTCATACAGGATTTTAAGATTCTGGGCTTAGGGCTTTTACAGTGATGGCAACTGGCAATAGCTGTCGGAATGTGCCATTGTACACCAACACTTGAAGAGTCATGGACGCTTGAGCGTCTGCAACTGACCGAGTTATCAGGGATGGTAGGTGGTTCAGTGGTATACTTGGGCTCTCTGTTCCAACTTTTCCGATTTACTCGTAGTATAGTATATCTAACAGCAGCAAAGCACCGGTTATTGAGCAGCGTAGGACAGCTGACAGCTTCAACAAGGCCCATACCAGCACCTAAGCATCAACTATTCAGAGAAACCTTTGTACGGCTCTTGCATTGAAAGGTTCATGTGTAGGTACAAGACTAGCATTCCTGCCCATATAGACTCATGACAACGTACTCAGAGACTCCAAAACCCCCTTACTTAAGGAATGCACCTGCCCCCTAGCTCTGACTAAACCCATTTTCCACAAAGCAGGCCTTCCGAGCGGCTTTGGCAGCCCCCGCACCTTGGCTCAACTTACTGGGGCGGAGGTGGGTCCAGGGTTGTTGGGTTTAGGGTTTGGGGTTTGAGGTTTAGGGTTTAAGGTTTAGGGTTTAGGGTTCAGGGTTTAGGGGTTGGGGCTGATGGCTTGGAGGTAAGGATCTACCCTAAACCCTAAACGCTAAACGGTTCAGGGTTTTGGGGGGTTAAGGGTTACGGTTTTGAGTTTGAGGTTGGAGGCATTGGGTTGGCCAGAGCCTGCGAGTTTGGGTGTGTCTACGTGCCTATGGCTAATATAGGAGCCTAAATAATTACCTATACGTTTTGGGGGGGCTCCTTATCATAATCACAGCATAAGGGGCCCAAACCCTAGTCTAATTCTTAAGGGTCCTACATTACACACCCAAGAGGGCTGTATGACCGAGAGCAGGGCTTGTTGGGCCCGTGACGCAACGACAGCAACGATAACAGCAACAGCAACGCCACAAGTAGGGTTTAGGGTTTAGGGTGAGCAGGAGCAAGGCAGTAGCAGTAGCAGTCGTCGTCGTCGTCGTCGCACCAGCTGTGGATCGCAAAGACTATGCACTGTCGGAAGAAGAGCTTGGAAAGAACCAACACCTCGTTAACCCAAAAGGCTTTGGCCAAGAACTGAAAAAACCTGAAACTCCTTGGCCTTAATGCAGGCTCCTGATTAACAATAACATCCACCCAGTTCATGGTGGTGTATGTATAATATATGTTAGATACTGTATGTATATATATATATATACTCGCACATGTCAATGTCAACAACTGGAAGCCACTATATATAGAGAAAAGCCAAACGCTTAAGATCTTGCAGACCACATTGCCTGGCCCGAATAGTGCGTTCAAGATTGCGAAAACCTTTGCAGATATCCTAAAGCGTTTAGGACAACATTATCAATACCATTCCTTGGAGTTGATTATTCTTCGGGTTTCGGGTTTGGGAGTTTAGGTTTTAAGGGTTTAGGGTTTAAGGGTTTAGGGTTTAAGGGTTTTGTACTAGACTAGGCCCCCAAACCCTATTCTATTCATTAAGGCCCCTTTCCTTCCCTAAACCTTGAGGATGACCTTACCTACATCACGACCGTGACAGGGATCTTTAGGAACCCTTACATACACTGTCGCTAATGATTCCGTCAAAAACCTTCAGGACAACATTGCAACCCGGTTCCTTATCATACTTGCAATAGACCAAGGCTCGAGCCGTGGAGGGGGACCCCGAGAAGTTCTTATAGTATACCTGGCCATTGCTACTTGCCACTCCGTAGACACTATACCCTACAGTTTAGATCCAGCACCAGCACCATTCCCTGCGTTACCTTATACTTGCACGATACGCACACCCAAACAGAAACCTGTTCTGAGTATGAGGGCCCCTATGTTTCCCTCAAGGACAACATTACATACACAAGCCCGTGTAGTGACCTTGCTCCCTAAACCCTAAACCCTAAACCCTAAACCGGGGAACCCCGAGCCCCTTAGAAACCCTTAGCGTATTTCATGGTCCTAGGAAAAAAACTCGCGAAACCCTAAGCCCTAAACCCCAAAAGCCCTAAACTCTGAACCCTAAGGCACAAAACACCAACATAACCCTAAGCCCTAAATCCTATATTTCACCGAGAACGACAACAGTACCTATATCATATATATCGACTTCCCGAAAGCCTAAACCCTAAAGCCTAAAAGCCTAAACCCTGAGTTTCCCCCGCAAAAAAAAGGACAACATTACCTACACCGACCTAAACCCCAAACCCTAAACCCTAAACCCTAAACCCTAAACCCTAAACCCTAAACCCCCGGAGGGCCTAAACCCTAAACCCTATATTCCCCCCCTCAAAAACATGACAACCGTACGTACATCGAATCCCCGGGTGCCCTAAACCCTAAACCCTATGGGTAGTTCTCTAAATTGGGATCCCTTTTCGGCTCCTTTTTTCAAGGGTGGCCGTACTATGTTGGGGACCTGAAAGGGACCCTATTTCCGAGAACTACCCCGATATTTCCCCAAAAAGGACAACATTTCCTGCATCGACTTCCCGGAGGCCCTAAACCCTAAACCCTATATTTCCCAAAAAAACAGACAACCGGCCCTAAACCCTAAACCCTATATTTCACCAAAAAAAGGACAACATTTCCTACATCGACTTTTTGGAGGCCCTAGACCCTATACCCTAAACCCTAAATCCTATATTTCACCAAGAAAGGACAATATTTCCTACATCGACTGGAAGCCGTATGGGCCCAGCGCTGGAGCGCTGGCGGCCTTTCTGTCGACCGGCCTTCGCGATGAGGAGCGAGCCTTTAGGAAACCTTGGGGCTTTGGGGGTTTAGGGTTTAGGGTTTAGGGTTTAGGGTTTAGGGCTTTGGGCGTAGAGCCTTTAAGGCTTTCGGAGTTTCGGGGTGCAGGGTTGTAGGGTTTAGGTTTTTAGGGTTTAGGGTTGTAG